TGTGTGTGTGCGTGCGTGCGTGTGTGTGTGTGTACCCTCTAGAGGCAGCAGCTGGGGGCAGTAGTAGTGCAGCGCTGCAGCGATGGCGCAGCCGTTGGACAGGTCTTTGACTCCGGTAACTACCGGGAAGGTGGGCGTCAGCTTGGACTGAACCCGGTCCTTCCTGTAGCGGATCTGAGGGAGAGAAGAGGGGGAGGGGGGAGACAGAGGAGGGTGAGAGGAGGGAGAGTTGCCAGGAAACAGAAACAACAAATGGACGAGTGAGGGGAAGAGAAGGGGATGATAAGAAATGAAAATAAAGATTAAACCATCGAGTCTGAACTATGACGGCAGCCAAACTCCAGGAAAACTGCAGATAAAAGAAAACCCACAGAAACAAAGCGCAAGACCAGTGATGCTACTATAAACACACACACACACACACACACACACACACACACACACACACACACACACACACACACACACACACACACTCTCACACACACACACACACACACACACACACACACACACACACACACACACACACACACACACACACACACACACACACACACACACACACACACACACACACCAGAAGGTGCAGTGCAAAGGTGTCAAACAGAAAATGAAGTGAGGCTAAGGTGATGAGGGCCTCGGCCCTCCGGAGTCCATGCAGCAGAGCTCTGATCACGTCAGAAATCAGAAAATAAACAGAGACGTTTATCCAAAGGAAACGAACACTGTGTCACTGAGACAGAAACACACTGCAGGGTTACACAGCCAATCAGAGGAGGACCATCTCACTGGGAAGACTCGATGCTTCGTCACTGCATTTATGTCCAAAGTGTTGACAATTATAAAATTAAATCTTTATATTTATCAATTAATGAAGTTGGCTAAAGATGCTATCTACACATACAGCAAGCTAGCTAGTGAATGTTAGCTATCTAGCTAGCTATTTCATTGTGATTAATGATCATTTTAGAAATCATTAATCACAATTAATTCGTTTATTTCAATGTTTTTAATGCAAAAAATATGAACATTTTTAATAATGGCCGAATTGTGACTAATTACTAATATTTTTATTTTTTTCACTCATTGAATATAAAACAACATGTACACTTTAAGCAGTTTATATTGCCAATGTTTAAAGGTTAACAACCTGAAAAGTATTCTAAATCTCAAGTCCATAGCTGTTAGACTTGGAAAGGAATTCAGGCTGCCTTTACTCCTCCTGAGCCTCGGCTGTGTAACGCTCTTTAAAGCAGAGAAGTACAATGTGGATAAGTTCTTTTAATATCTAATAAACTATCCAGCCTCGGGGTTGGACGAGAGATTAGTGAGCCGCTCAGTCATTGGTTGACGGCGGGGGTACAGGCGTGGCGATTGGTCAATCACACGTGGGGGGGAGTGGGGTAAAGAGCGAGGGGTTATACGTTACCACTGGAGGCTTATTCCCCGACTCCTTCAAACAAAAAGCGATAGCATGCTGGACGGCAGATAGAGGGAGATAAATGAGAGGGGGCATCATCTGGAGACCACAAAGGGACGGCTAAGAGGGGAGAGGGGGAGAAACTGGGGGGTTTAAAGGTGCAATGTGTAAGAACATGACTTCACGTCACCACCGCTAAGCTAAAGGTGGCTAATGTTGGGCTATAAAGGAACTACAGCACGGTCACATGACTTCACGTCACCACCGCTAAGCTAAAGGAGGCTAATGTTGGGCTATAAAGGAACTACAGCACGGTCACATGACTTCACGTCACCACCGCTAAGCTAAAGGAGGCTAATGTTGGGCTATAAAGGAACTACAGCACGGTCACATGACTTCACGTCACCACCGCTAAGCTAAAGGAGGCTAATGTTGGGCTATAAAGGAACTACAGCATGGTCACATGACTTCACGTCACCACCGCTAAGCTAAAGGAGGCTGATGTTGGGCTATAAAGGAACTACAGCACGGTCACATGACTTCACGTCACCACCGCTAAGCTAAAGGAGGCTAATGTTGGGCTATAAAGGAACTACAGCACGGTCACATGACTTCACGTCACCACCGCTAAGCTAAAGGAGGCTAATGTTGGGCTATAAAGGAACTACAGCACGGTCACATGACTTCACGTCACCTAAGCTAAAGGAGGCTAATGTTGACGTTTAGTCGTCTTATAATGCTGAGTCATGTCAGAGAGACTCATCCCTGTAGCTGAAGTTTACAAGATGGCAGAGCAGTTTTGTATTTTTTGTTTGTGTCTCAGAGTTTCCGCAGTTCATTTGAGTTTTAGGTACCACACATTGCATCTTTAATAATCAGCTGGGGATAAATGTCAGCTCCCTCCCCTCTTTCCCCCCTGGCTCTGATACTCAGGGCAGATTGAGATTAAACTGATGACTGGATGTAAAAACTTCATTAACAACCCCCAGCATTAACATGATAAACAGTTGAGAAAAAGGTCAGCAGATATTGAACACACTGAGGTGACGTTCACACGGCAAGTCTTCGTGCATAATTCAGATTTATAACTCAGATCTGTTTTTGTTTTTTAAACGTGACGAGTCCAGTGTGGACCCTCTGAACTAAGTCACATACATAAATTATAATTGAGCCACTTCCTGCCTGCAGTGTGAACGCAGCCTGAAGGCAGCACTTTAAATAATGGATGTGTTTGACTCAGAGAGGAAGAGACACTTACGGGGACAAGTTTCCAGTACCAACGGTTGGATTGACACTGCCCGAGAGCAAGGCATTAGTCGGGGGGG